TAGGATTATTGTCCATCTTTGGCTATATAATTGGATTATTTTTATTTTGCATTCGAGTAAGAGCATTATTAATAGCATATTCTTTATTAGAGGATGGGGCAGAGGTTGATACGAAGTTACAAGTGATTACATCTTCATTGTCATAATTTAACTGACCTCCTTCTATATCCAGAATTTCATTTTTATTGTCCTGGAAAATGTCATCTTTATTCTGCAGTTGTGGAAGTTGATTGTCAACAGAGCCATCATCTGGTAACGAATGTAGCACATTATAATCAATCTCACTGTTTTTATAGTAGCGATTGTTTGCCATTAGCTAGTAAAGTGCTTGTTCTATTTTGGATCAGTGAACGATGAAATCTTTGAATATCTGTTGGCCTCTTGGAGATTGACATTGTACAATTAGCATTCCTAATGTTTGAGGATGCCGCGGAAGCTGTGTAACGAATTCTTTTACATCCTGAAGAAAATTAATGACATTTCTGCAGTATGCATATTAACCCCCACGCAGGTAATATACAGACACAACAGGAAAAATTTGGGCTATTAACATTTCTTCTATATTAGTTAGACCCTTTAGCTCTTTAGGCACATCACCAGGATCCATATTATTTTCGGCCAAAAATTTTTTTATTTCACCTTTTTCACTATAAAAGCGTCAACATTCTCCCATAACGAGTATTATTGACGAAAACCACTCTTTGCAAGTAGGGCACAAGCGGTGAGCACAGTTATTCATTTTAGTACAAAATTTGTTAAGAAGTTTACGATCATCATATGAGAGCTGTTAAACGAATAGGTTCTCAGGTTGCACTTCTGTTTTAGTTACCGTTTGATTGTTTTCCTTTTTGGTAGGCTCTAAAATGCGTTTTCTTTTTTTTCGAGCATATTCACGCACTTTTGCCAAACATTGACTACACTCTTCAACAGTTTCTAGCTTTCTTTTTTCTTAATGTCTCATTCTATCATGTTCACGGTTTAAGAGAAGTTTATTTGAATCAGCATTTTCTTTGCCTTTGTGTTTTAGCATTTGCCTATTCATCTTAATTTGTTGTAGTATATTTGAGATAAGTAGTTATTAACTCTAAGTAAGCTTGAGTTTAATTATACGCTTAACTCTATACACCAATATTTATGTGTTTTTTTTAGGGACTGTACTCTAAGCAACTCGGATTACCGCAAAAAAAAAAACATACTTTAAGGGTAGTTAGAAAAATTAAGGAGTAATTAACAAAATAATACAAATTTTTGTATTATTAGTGTTAATAAAAACAAAAAAGCATATTTTAAGGGTAGTTAGACAAATTAAGGAGTAATTAACAAAATAATACCAATTTTTGTTAGCGTTAATTGCTCAAACTATTTTTACATACGAACACGTAATAAGAACTTACATTAAGGGGTAATCGTATATTATTGTCACTAAAATTTAGAGCGTATCTTACAAACATATATAAACTCAATTCCGCAAATTCGCTTACAATTTAATATATAATTTATACTTTCAACAAAAATCCAAAACCCAAAAATTGATCAACGAATATCTCAAATTTTAGTGAAATTTTTAAACAATTGTTCTATACATTTATAAAATTTCGAGATTACTTTTTGAAGACTTTAAGTGATTTGGGATTTGTTAGAATTTTACTATAATTATTTATGTAGTTTATGATATAGACACGAAAGCTGCTGCGTATATCAGGATCATGTAAACAATTAGATGAACAGGCATTTTAGAATATCTAATTATTTGATAATAAAACATATATAAAATTCTTTTATTCATGTAACGAGCAAAGTTTTCAACCTAGTTTCACCAAACCTTGAAATAATTTTTTTATTGGTGACTTATCGTTTACTGACTTTATTTTTTTTTTTGAAAAGTAATGCGCAGTATATCGATGGCGAAGCTTCAGCATTAGTGCAATTTAAAATATTTAAATAGACTCTTTATTAATTGGTGGCTTACAAAGTTATTTCATCAGACGAAGCGATATATTATTTTATTTTAAGTTAATGGATTTTGAAATCGCTGGTTCTAAGTGCATAAGAGTGAATATAATGATTTACTATAGGTTAGAAGTGCCGGGACACCCAATGTTATCAAATGGTGATACATAGTTGTCACATTTAATAATTTATACAGGAATTGAATTGCACTATTTTAAATTAAAGCATTAATATATTCTGTCGATCATTGTTACACTGCCTGCAGATCATCACGGGAACTCTCAATTCTTGAATTTCATTGGTCGCATCTGACAAACATTGCATGAACGTGCATCAATCTTTACATAAACAATTGAGTCCTCACTACGCTTCGGACAATAAACTCAAGTTGGTTGTTACGTTTTGTATTACAAAAAAAAAAAGTTTCATATGACACGACGATTTTTACTATTAAAAGTACTTTAAATATTACAATTGACTATATAAAAAAAAGATCGTCACCAATTATATTTATTATAATATCAACCAATCAAAACAAACTTCCGCTATGCTGGGACTACAAATTTTTGTGCCATCACTATTTTACTCATAATGGACACAAATCTACGAACTGAGTTTATGGGAGGAGTTCATGTGACTGACTAAAATATTGCGTAGTTTATACTATCTATACTGTTGAAAGAACCTTAAGAACCTTTGTAGAGTTTCGCTGACGGATACACGACCAATAACGATCAATGATAGAAAACATGAATCATTAATATAAAGGATTGAGAGTAAGAATAAAAAATTTTATTAATTTTTTTGTTATGATTTTTTGATAAATTCTTTACAATATAAAATTAAATAAGAAGACCAGCTACCAAAAGAAATATAACATTAAAAAGAATCTGAGAAAAAAAAAGAATGAAGTAAATGAAATCATGTTACAAATCAACACGAAATAATATACATTAAGTTATCTAATGCTTGTACAAAAATATATATATACACGCATATACAATGTTACCAAGCAAGATGCGCTATACCTCAACACTATCAAACTTTAGTCTAATGAAATTAGTTAAATGTGTAGAAATTAAGAAAGGGATTAAAATGTGATTGTGTTTCATTTTGAGCCATAGATTCTAGGGAAGGTATCTGAAGAGGCTGTGCAAGCTCGACAGGACAATCCAAGTAAAATTCAAAGTTGAGCGAAGGTATAGAAGTTCGTTCATCATTGATACCTGAAAGGGGCACAATAGGTTGTTCTCCGATGATAGGATAATTGGGATGGGTTGCAGATTCTGAATCACGAATAACCAAATCCGCATGTGCCAACAGCCAGTCGGAAACGATGGAAGGCTGAGATAATTGCGAAGATAACCTTGATTCGTTGATAGCAAGATTTTCTTGACATGTAATAATCATGTTTTGATTCATTAAATATTGCTGTACTAGTTGAATTTGTTCGCATAAATAGAAAAATTCATCATTAGAAATAATAAAGTACGGAGTGGAAGAGGGTGAGAACTTATTAAAATAAAGTGCGAGGGCCAACGTAGGTTTAGTGGTGCTTAGGCGAATCAACTCAGCACACTGTTGATAATCTATTTTGAATTCAGGAGATTCTAGTTTGTATGCTTCACAAGCTTCAACGGGATTAAACTTGTGTCTAATTTTATAAAGAATAAAACTGCTAGGAGTTTTCTTTTTACTACAATACTTGTATATATAGTTTAGTACCTCTTCTTCAGTTAAACAGGAAGTTGGCTGCGACACACTCATGTTGATTCCTTAGGATCTGAGGAAAGATGAATCAACAAATCAGGCATATAAATACATTTTATTTAATACACTATACACGTGTTTAACGAATCAAATCAGAATAAAAATAAAAATATAATGATGATAACAAGATGATAAGTGTAAGAATCTCTAAAATTGATGTGAAGATAAAAAAACACTGATCATTGGCCATAAAGAAAATACTTAATAATACAAAAAGAGTCATCCTTACGAATTATTAATGTTTTTATAATATATGTTTTATATACACTGTAGCATACTCCTGAAATAGAATCACAAGATCATGTATAACCTAAAAAATTCGAGAAATATTGAGGATACAAAAAATCGCAAATAGCACAAAAGTTTACTATGCCAACTATAGGCCGGCTTCAAAGAAATTTTTCAGCTCGAAATTTAAGTTATGTTAGTGAATGCATTTATCCATCAATTAGAAGTCTGCACCAAGTTCTAATCTGGTTTAGTGATCGACACTGATTTCGAACTTGCTATTATTTTGTCTTATTATCACCTTATTTGTACCAATCACCGTGACACAAACTAAATTAGAAATTTATTGTTTTAATATTATTTGATAATGCATTATTAAGTATTACAGGTTACCCTCGTTAATATCAACCTATTTGAATCGAAAAGTTTCTAAGTGGACCGAAATGAAGCATTTATCAAAAAGGAATAGACGAGATAGGATAATCAATAAGAATGTGGGATTTTTTTTATCAAAAAATCATCTAAATTCTCTAAATTCGATAATAATGAACTACTAGTATGATACGTAGCACTAAATAGCTTGTGCATTCTTCTTATGTAAACATGCCGGAATATCATTGACCAATCATTAATATATAAATTCATTTATAATGTTACCAAAACGGATATTTTAAAATGTATTACGTCATGAACGTGGATAGCTCTTTTTTCGAGAATTTACTTATTTCCCATTGAAACACAAAATTTGCTTCAACTTTGGAGTCAAAATTAGGATCATTCCAAGGTTATAAAGTGCAATAACTATGTTAAAATTTATAAGGAATTTTTTGTTAGAGCATCAAAGGCAGTTTTTTTTAGGCAAAATTTCAATATTTTAAAAAACGACAAATTTCACGTTACACCTGATCTTGTGAACTGCATGCAAAATTTCCTTTTTGGTTTGTATCACTGGATAATTTTTTCAATGCAGAAGTGATTTGTAAAACTAATGCACAAAATTTTTTCTTAAGAAATTATCAATAAAACGAATCTATGTTATAAGACTTTTGTCGCGCTTTATACTGGCGAATAAACCGTGAACTATCTAACGACCAAAAGACATATAAATACTTCAATAAGAGACCAATGATCTCTTAATCAGTAGAATTAAATATTTGTAAGGCACTATTAAAAAGAGTTAGCTTTCTCAAAAAAATTTTTGATTGTCTTGCACAATTGCACAGATGTGCATTGACGGATATTTATGTACATATAAACATGCTTACAGAGTCTTTGCGCGACTATAAATTAATGAACGTGTGCGTTTGGTCGCACACTGGCATGAGTACTTTCGGAAGCATAATTATATTTAGACAAGTAGTGTTTGGACCCGTTCAACCTGGGTGCTCCTTCGGGCTGATCCGGGTAGACTGACGGGTATTCCCAACCAATCGCTACATTGGGTAAAATAGGAGATCTTACCCGATGTAAACAAAACATCAGCAATTGGCTGGGAATACCCGTCAGTCTACCGGGATCAGCCCGACGGGTCACCCGAGTTGAACGGGTCCAGAGCAGTTCATATTGGTTGTTTTTTTAGTAATGCAAATGTCCGTAATATGTATTTTAATATAATGAAAAGAATTAATCATTATTGTTTCAGATTCAAGTTATTAAAGTTCATTGGTCAAAATAATAATTGTATAATCCGGTAAAACAACAACTATCTTTAGTTAGAAAGATTATAAATTAGAATATATTATACCGATTCGGCCGATTGTTTCCCAATTAGTGATGCAATAGAATCGTCCCAATAATAGTCGTCACATTTTGTCACATTGCCGTAACTATAACAAAGTACAGTAATATAGTAAGTTACGTCTATAATGCCATAACTTACTATACTACTTAATATAGTTACGGCAAGTTACGGCAATGTGACGACCATCATTGGGACGATTCTACCGCATCTCTATTCCCAATCAATTTATATTTTGTCCTTAACATATCCTAAAATATCCTTAACACATCCTAAAATGTCCTTAACACATCCTAAAATGTAAAATAACTAAATGATCTGCGATCACGCATTTCTGTAAACACTTAAATAGATATGGTCGTAAAAAAAAAAAAAATGAATGAATGAATGAATAAATAAAATAATAATATTAATAAAATGTATTATAGTATATAATCTCAATATAAAGTTCAGAGCCTATGGACATGGACTTAACCCGATTTGTCTCTATAAACCAAACATTAAATTTTAGATGCGCCAAAAGAATACAGTTTAGGCTACAATCATAAAATTTATATTCTGCTTCAATCACAGATTCTCAGGTTATAGGTCAATGCAAGTCATTTTTTTTTACGATTAAAGAATGAAATAGGTCGATCTTAATACAATTAGCTATCAAACTTATAATATTGTGATTTTTAATAGAGTACATATTTTTTTAAATTAGTCTAAAAAACGTAATACGTAACAATAAAGCTAAATTTTGAATGTTTATAAATATTTTTTAATTTATTAGTTTTTATTGGCATTTTTTTAGAATGTAGATTACAAACATAGGTTATAATTATTACACTGTTACACGGATATGTGGTGAATAGCCACGATTCATAATTTGAAGGCACGGGAACAAAACATGAACTGTGGGTAACTCGTAGTGATGCCGTAGAATCGTCCCAATGAAGTTGAATGATAGTTGTCACATGCCGTAACTATAGTAAATAATAAGTA